AGAAGTTCCTAAAAATAATGGGGTGTAGCCAGTCAGGGAGAAGGAAGCTTGAGGAACTTCAAAAATAAATCCCCTCTTCTCACTGACGGAAGGGCTAGAAAGAATGGAGGCTTAAGATCTCTCTCTCTCTCTCACACACACACACACACACACACATACACACACACACACTTTGCTGGCAAGGTCACAGAATGACTAGAGAATTTTAGGGACAAATTCTGGATCCTTGGAGGCGGAAGAAGAGTACTGGAGAACATCCAGTACCCAGGTTGGCAAATACGTTCCAGGCGCCTGCCAACTCAGATCGGTGGCGGATGTCTATCTGGGGCTGTGTGCTAGAAAGGATTCTGGGTATTCAGCAGCAATGAGTGCAGGGATAGACTAGTCAGGTCTGCCACAGGCACTAGGAAAGGAGGTAGTGGTATCTGTGTCATCCCTGACTCCACACAATCTCTCCATTTCTCAGCCCAGAAAACAGAAGGTAGGATTAAAGTCTAGACTCAGATCTCTTCGCGTGGCCCCTTGTTACCCCAAACTTTATGCCCAGCTCCCTCCCCCAAGTTACCTGTTTCACCCTCTCCAGGTCTGACTCATCACTGGAGCTGGGTGTAGAGGGGTGGGCCTCAGAGGAGATTAATGAAGATGATGACTTCATCCTGAGAGAGTTGGGGTAGTTTGGGACAAAAATGAATTAAGAGAGAGGACCTGCATCCCACTCCAGGGGTCATATTTTGTTCTTCCTTATCCATTTGGCAAGTTCAACATTTTCTAGGGGGGGTGAGAGCCAACTGCCCACCTTGGCAAAGTTGTGCTGTTCTTCTCCCAGGGTCTTCGCACAGATTCTGGTGGACAGGCAACAAATCAAAATGATCAGGGACAAGGAGTGCCCCTTTCAATCTTTCTCCTCCAGCCTCCCTCATCAGCCGCCGAAGAACCACCCCCAGGAAACTACAATTCCCAGCACTGTTTGCACGAAGCCTGCCTTAGGATGCTTTCCATGTGAAAACAAGGCATCCTGGGATTTGTAGTTCCTGTGGCCAGACTGGGCTCACACTCACCAGTCTGGGCTGGGACTCTGGCCTCTGGCTCCTCCTGCTGGTGGGAAATAAAACTGTCAGGAGCCAGTCCCTGCTGGTATTCCTTTGAGGTTCCAACCCAACTCATCCCAACACCCCCCCAACACCCCTCCCTTATGGTAAAGCCTCAGGTGTGTTGGGCAGAAAGAGCCCCTAACTCACATTGGCAGATTCATCCTTGGGGGGCTTCTCTCCAACCTGTGTGGCTTTCCTCCTGCAGGAGGGAAAAGCAAAAACATGGTTTCAGTCCTTTCCAGTCACGCAAGTCCCCTTCCCAAGGCTCTAGAACTGTGCATTATGGTGTTGAATTCTGGCATTCGTCAATGCTAAGGAAACCCTAGCTTTAGAAGTCAAAGAGAGTGCTAAGATTTTAGATACTCAGTTTGCAGCATTCTGGAGTAGGGTCTCCGGACGTTCTAGAATGGAGTTTTAGTACATAGAAGCTACCCTGGCAGCTGCAAACCCAAGCCATCTCAGGAAATGACAATCCCTAAGCTGGGCGATCAATGGGTAAATTCTTCGCCGAAAGAAATAAAACTGAAGTCCCTCAGTGGCACGGAAGGCCTTCCCTACTAGACTTGAGAGCTCTCAGCCTTGAAAACTCTCTGAATCGATTCTAAGCTGCACACCTGGGCCCCGTGAGTCGACTAAACGTCAATTAACTGCTGTTGTGTACTATTAAGCTGATCCCAACTCATAGCGCTCCTCTACCACACAGAAGAACTGCCCTAGATGGTTCCTGAGGCTGTGGCCATGTTTAAAGTGCTTGGCTGCAAACCTAACGGTCAGCAGCTGGAACACACCGGCTGCTCTGCGGGAGAAAGGTGAGCCTGTCAGCTTCTGTAAAGATTGACAGCCTCTGAAACTCTATGCAGCAGTTCCACTCTGTCCTCTAGGGGCGCTGTGAGTGGGAATCCACTGCACGGAAGTCGGTGTGGTTTGGGCTTTGCCTCCGTAAAGACTGACAGCCTTGGGAACTCTATGGGGCCATTCTACTCTGTCCTCCAGAGTTGGTGAGTCAGAATTAACGGCAATGGGACTCCTCACGGGAGCACAGCTCCAGGTCTAGTCTCCGGACCTTTCAATTCGCAGCTGGGTGCTTAACTAAGGAAACACCAGGGCCCCTTCATTAGAGAAAACAGGAATCTGCCCCCTCCTCCCACGTGGCTGCACTGAACTACTTTTCAGGGATGTATTTCAGTATTATTTCCCATTCTGTTTTCTTCTCTAGAGCCTTCCCAAGGGGGCTGGGGGGGGGGGCGCTGGGGGGGCTAGGGCAGGGCGTCAGGCTCACCTCCGGGCCAGCATGGCACTCATCTCTTCCATGAGCCCCCCACCTGTGCTCCTCCCGGTCTCGGCTTTGGGGGCCGAGGGCCCCCCGGAGGCCTCCTCCTGCTGGAGAAATTCAGAAGCGGAGGGGCCTTCTCAAGTGGCTCTTGACTGGCCTCATCCCATTACTCCATCATGGCCCCTATCACCCCGCCCATTTGCCCCAGCCCCTCACCTTGCTGACTTTCCTGAGTTTGGCTCCAGCAATGGCTGCCGCCAGTCCAGGGGCTCCAGCTCCTCCACCACTGGGGCCCTGTGCCGCCGGGAGAGGGGGCGCAGGGGGTGGGCCTCCCCCTGCGCCATGCCCTGCAGCTGAGACCCCTGAGGGGGGCAGACCCGGGGGCGGAGGGGGACCCGGAGGAGGGGGTGGTCCTGGAGGCGGGGGCGGCCCTCCAGCTGGGGGCGCAGGTGGGCCTCCTGAAACATACACGCAAAAGGGGGTGGTGTTGCTGAGACAGAAGCTGCTTCCTTTGTTTTCCAGCTGGCCCACCCTCTCCTCCGGGGGGGGGTGCCCTACTCCCAGGGCCATTCGATCACCTGCATTGGAGACCCTGCGCTCCCGCTCCACGTGCTCCGGCTGGGCCACCTGCTGTCTGGAGGGGCGACATAAGAGAGGTGGCTTAGGGTCCCAAGGACGGCCAGGGCCCTCCCCCTGCTTCGCTCTGAGGCCTCCAGCCACCCAAAGATTAGGGGAGGCTGGCCTGTCATCCCCCCACCCATGCCATCCTTCCCCAGCCCAAGAAGGAGGTGGAAAAATGAATAGGTGCAGAGCACGGGCCCAGGAAACACCAAGAGACTCTTCATTAAACTCTGAAGAACATCCCAATGACACAAGGTCAAGATTCTTTTAATGACCAGATTCTGCACCCCGGGAATCTGGAACTCTGGGGCTTGGGGTCCGGGAGATTTAAACTCTGAGCATCAGATTTTAACTCAACCACCAGGGGGAAAGCCCCCGAGTCGGGGCTTTCTGAAAACTGAAAATTGGCTAGTTCTGGAACTTTCAGTCAGGGGCTCTGGAACACCCTAGAATAGAACTCAGGTTTGGGAAGGTTCGCTGCCCAGGGGCAGGCCCCACCTTTTCTGTTGTTCCACCTCCTCTGGGGAGGGGCCGTTCTGGACTGACCACGTGGGAGGTACTGCAGGTGCCGCAGGTGCCGGGGGCCCACCTCCTGGAGAGAGAGTGAGATGAGTCACAGGCGGAACTCGGCCCCGCCCACTGCCTTGGCCCTTTCTGCCCTCAGCCTCCCAGGAATCCTGCCCAGAGGCACTCACTTCCTTCTTCCTCTGACACTGGGGTGAAGTGTGGGGACGTGGTGTCGGCTGGGATGAGCGTCCCAGCACTAGCTCGCCTTGATGAGCTGCTGGGAGCTGCTACGATGCCCAGGTGACAGGGGGGGACACTAAGGCCCAAAGGTCTGTCACTCGTGCACAGTGCCAGATCCAGGAATTCATAGGAGCAAGACTCAAATTCAGGCCGACTCCGGTTTCCAGTCTCTTAGAGCATCCTTAAGCCGCTCAGCAAGGACCCGCCCTGAGGCCCTCGGGCTCCCGGGACCCCTGGTATTTCTCTGTGAGCCTCCAAACAAGCAAACTCCTTACTACTAGCTCTGAAGCTTCCCTGTGAAGGGAGATGGCCTTGGACGTTTGGTGATTTCAAGTTCTACAGCAGCGAGTGATTTTAGACCCCAGACAGAGCGGAACCAAACTTTGCCATTGAGTAAATTTCAACTCATATTGACTTCACGGTGACAGAGTAAAACTGCCCCACAGGGTTTCAAAGGCTGTCAGTCTTTACAGAAGCAAAGCCCAAACCACACCCACTGCCATGGAGTTGATGCTGACTCACAGCGCCCCTAGAGGACAGAGTGGAACTGCACCACAGGGTTTCAAAGGCTGTCAGTCTTTACAGAAGCAAAGCCCAAACCACACCCACTGCCATGGATTTGAACTCACAGCGCCCCTAGAGGACAGAGTGGAACTGCACCACAGGGTTTCAAGGCTGTAATAGTTACAGAAGCCCGACTGCCTCATTTTTCTCCCAGGACCAGTTGGTGGGTTCAAACCGTCGACCTTTTGGTTAACAGCCTAAGCATCTGTAGGAAGCCTGTTAAGGATGCAGTCTTGGGCTAGCCCCAGAGTTTGCACAGCCCCTCGGGACTAGAGTGCACACCCGACTTTAAGAATCACCAACTGGGAGATTTGGTTGGTTTTTTAAAAAAGATCTCAATGCCTGAAAACTAACTGATATGTGACCTATGGTTTACCTTGGGCAGGAGTGCATGGGAGGGAAAGGCACAGGGAAGAGGCAGCTATGGGGAGGAAGTGGGAGGGGAGCTGTTGCACTGTGGGAGATTGCAATGAATGTCATGAGACAAAGTGTATACGAGCGGCTGTATGGAAAGTGAATTTGCTCTGTAAACTTTCACCCAAATCACAATAAAAATGTTAAAAAAAAAAAAGGAAAAAAAAATCATCCAGCTCTGGTGGTGTAGTATCTAAGGCATTTTGACTGCTAACCAGAAGGCTAGCAGTTCAAACCCACCAGCCACTCCTCAGAAGGAAGGTTGGACAATCTACTTCCATAGTGATACTGACTCAGAAACCCAAGGAGGGGTTGCTGTGAGTCAGATCCAACTCGACGGCAGTGCATACAGTGAGTACAGTATTCCCTTAGGAGAAGGAGCTCTGGTTAAAGCATCCGGCTGCTAACCAAAAGGTTAGCAGTTCGAACCCACCAGCCATTCGCCAGGAGAAAATGTAGCAGTCTGCTTCCGTAAAGACTGACAGCCTTGGAATCCCCATGGGGCAGTTCTACTCTGTCCTCCAGGGGTGCTATGACTTGGAATCCTTTAGGAATTGTACATTTTATGCACGAAGGCCAACTAAATGCTTGTAATGTTCCATGGTAAAAATGAGTAAGCTCCATTTTATAGATGAGTAAACCGAGGCCGCAGGTCCTTGGGTGTTACAAATGGTTTGTGCTCAACTACTAACCCTCCTGGGGCGCAATCTGTTACCGTACGATTATAGCTGAGGTTGCCATGAGTTGCATTCGACTTGGCAACAGCTTTGGCTTGGTCACCTGGGTGGGGAAGTTGTGGCCCCAGGTTTCCTCCAGCCATCCCATGCCCACCGCTGTTCCTGACCTTCCAGGGCCTCTAGGGCGCTGGCCATGCCCGCGGCAAACTGCGCTGCATCCTCCTTGCTCCCGAAGTTGAGGCCCCAGACCTGGCGGGCATCCCGCCACTGATGGAAGTTGGGGGTCGCCTGGTTGTACTTGACACCTCGCACAATGGCACAGTTGATGACCACCTGGCAGGGGGGAGGGGAGGTGAGAGGTGGCAGGATCAGAGGTGGGGAGGCTCAGCCTGGAGGGTTGAGAGTGGGGCCTTCACCTGCTGGTCCGGCTGCATCTTCCGGCCGACGACCCGGAAGGAGTTGGCCGTGGGGTTGTGGTAGATCTGGACGCGGCTGAAGGCTTGGGGGCCTGTGCCAGCAGGCAGCCACCGCTTGTTACCATCATCGTAAAGCATCACAGTGGCCCGGCTAGAGCAGATGACCGTCTCGCTGCCGGGAAGCAGGGAGAGAAGGAGAGGGGCCAGTCAGTGAAGGGGCGGCATGGGCTCTCCTCCAGAGGCTGGTCACCTCCTCCATCTTTGGGAGATTCCAAAGGACCGAGACAGAGTATGTGAGGAGGAGAGAGAGACACAGGCCCAGCAGACATGGAGAGAGGGTGAGAGACGGACCCTCGGGGAGATACGCAGAGAGAGAGACAAGATTGGGGCAGGAAAACAAGACAGGCAAGGCAGAGACAGACGAGAAGACATAGAAAGACCAGGAGAGAGAGACAGATGGGAACAGAAAAAGTGACAGACAGGCAGACAAATGGCAAAGAGAGGAAAAGAGAGAAAGAAACAGACGGAGAGAGAGAGAGAGAGAAACACAGACAGACATGGAGAGAGTGAGATGGGCAGCAAAGGAGGCAGACAGAGATAAAGACACAGACAGATGGAGAAAAAGGGACATGGACAGAGACTGAGGCAGGCAGGCCGGCCGGCCGAGAGGTGCAGACAAGAAGGACAGAATGACACTGGAGAGAGGACAAGGGTGGGAGCAGGGGCCCTGGGCAGACTCCCGACCAGCCAAGCACTCAGTTTCCCTTCTCCGCCCGGGGGCTTAGGCAGAGCTGAGGCTGAGCAAGGGAAAGCTGGGAGGCTGCCCTGCAAGCCAGGCCCAGATCCCAGGTTCTTCCCCTCCTTGAGCCCCAGGGGATGTCAGGTGGCCCGCCCCACCCCTGCACAGCTCCCCAGGCGCTAACTGCTGCCCTGCTCTGGGTTGGGCTGGGCGGTGCTGGCGACCACAGACACAGGAGGGAGACAGTCCAGTGAACAAGACAGCCTGGAGGCAGCCCCAGGGGTCAGTGGCTCAGAGGTCAGGGCGTGGCACCCACTGAGCCACCACCTCCATGTGACTCAGGCAGCAGACCGTCCCACTCAGAACTCATCTTCCTAGTCTGCAAACAGGGGAAGTAACCATCCCTACCTCACAGAGCAGTGGGGAGAGGTACCTGAGCCAGGGAACGGAGGGCACCTGGCTCGTCCTGCCCTGTCCCGAGCACCCTTCCAAGGGCTCCCTGAACGCGTACCCGTGGGTACCCCAGACAGCTGCCTCCCTTTGGGGAGGTGCCACCCTCTCCTCCCCTCCCCCAATGAGGAAACTAAGACTCTCAGAGGGGAAGTGACTTGCTCAAGGTCACACACAAACCAGGGGGAAGTGCGAGCCCCTGCCCCCACTTTTTCCTGAAAAGAGGAAGTTGGAGGTCAGGGGTTTCCGGGGAGAGAAATTATACCCCCGAAAAGACTCTGTCTCTGCTGTGGCTGTGAAAGGCCTTCTCTCTTCCCCCGTGGGCAGGGAAAGCCCCTGTGCAGACCCAGCTCTGTGTCCCAAGGGCAGGGGGCTAAGCTTCGCATTCCAAGTTAACATTATCACAGCAGCCCCCCATGGGGGGGGGGGTTCAGCTGGATCACATACCCTCCTACGCCCTGTACCCTGAGTCCCCTCACTTTTCTCTCCTCCAGAAGTAGGTACTATTTCATCCTCATCCTGCCCGTAAGGCCTGCAAACTGAAGCCCAGAAAGGTTGAATGACTTGTTCAAGGTCACACAGCAGGTGAGCACTAACGGGAAGATGTGAACCCGGGCCACCTGGCTCCCAGGGCCACAGTCTTCACGCCCAGCCAGTGTGGGGGCCCTACATGAACCCCAGGTGCTGTTTCCAGATGAGCGCCGCCTTGAGGGCTGTTTCTA